AAGTGGTTGAAAATTGGTTAAGACATAGTATTTGAGAATCAAAATAAAACCAAATTTAACCGGTAACACATAATAACTAATCTAGGAAGGGATTTGTATATGTTTATGTCACAAGTTGAAAAATTATAATGGAATTAATTTTCTGATTTTATTTTTTTGACTCACCGTAAAATTTGATATAGCACTATAGAGAAAGCATATTGATACAAGCAAGAATTGAGATCACACAAATTATATTTAAGAAATTTATCTAATATCGAATCTTAACTTGACTTTCATTTCTTCTTATCCTTTCTTATCAGTTTGATTCAGTTATTATTTTCTCATGTAAAAAAAAAATACACCCCTCTCCTTTATTAACATGGTATTTATGGGTTCATCTAAGGGTCAGAAACTTGTTCAAGTGAAAAATTATGTAAACTACTCATCTTGAATTTAGGAAATTGGAAGTTTGGGGAAAAAAATTTCATTGGAAATGGATGAAATTTGGTGAAACTTACTACAGTATGGGTTCATTGTGTTTAAATGATTATGGAAGAAAGATGAGGTACATTAGTTATTTTTGTTTTTAGAAGAAAAAGTTCGAGTCGTTAAAATAAAATCTAGTAAAATTAAAACAAGATGTGTTAATATTGGTCATATAAATTTTTTTATAAAACCTCTTATTTTCTTGAAAAAGTGAATAATTTTAGTTTATTTCATATCGTAATTTTTATTGTTAAAATTTTCTTTTATACAACTTCCAATAAAAACAAATGATGTATAAATTTAAATGTGTTAAACATAAATCATATTTGTCCCTCTTTACTTAAATTTATAAAATAATATGAATACTAAAATTTTTCATATTATTATAGCAAATTATAAGTAAAGATATAAACACCAATTTTTATTCATAAATGAGAGATATTTAGGGTAAGCATGAGAGTTCAAAACACAAAAGAGTGGATATAGAGGCTTGAAATCTACAATGATTAGGCATGAGGACCCAAAATATAAAATGGTGGGTGCGAAGATCCAAATCATAAAAAAAAAAATGACTCGAAGACTTAAAATATATTAATGTGGATACATGGACCCAAAATGTAAATGAGTGGACACAAAGACCCAAGATGTAAAAAAAGTGGGTACGGAGACCTAAAATATAAAAGAGTGGGGCATGGGATTCGAGATACAATAGAGTGTATTTCGAGACCTGAAATGTAAAAATGATCGTGGGACTCGAAATGTAAAAGTGAACATGAAGACCCAAAATATAAAAGAGTGAAGGCACGAGGACTTGAAATGTAAAAGAGCGAGCATGAGGACCAAAAATATAAATAAAGTGGGCACAAGGACTTGGAATGCAAAAGAATGAGCATGGAAATCTTAAATGCAATAGAGTGGGCACAAAGATTTGAAATGCAGTAAAGTGGGCACGTGGATTTGAAATGTAAAAGAGTGAGCACGAGAACCCAAAATGCAAAAGAATGAACACGAGAACCTGAAATGCAATAAAGTAAGTATGAGTACCCAAAATATAAGAGAGTGGACACGATTACTCAAAATACAAAGGAATGAGCATGATGACCCGAAATACAAAGGAGTGGACACAGGGACCCAAAATATAAAGAGTAGGCACGAGAACATGAAATACAATAGAGTGAACATGAGGACACGAAATACAATAGAGTGGAAACAAAAACCCAAGATGTAAAGACGTGGGCATAGGGACAACAAATGTAAAAGAATAGGCACGAAGACCAATATGTAATAGAGTGAGTAGGAGGACTGGAAAATGAATAGAATGGGTCTTATCATCCAAAAATAAAATTATTGTGAAATTAAATTAGAATTCAACTTTGATAGAATGTAAGATGTTGAAATAAAATGCATGATGTGTAAATTGTAGTACAATAATAATAATAATATTTTGTTAGCCTTCAACATCTTTACTATCAAACGCTTAAAACCTTTTTTTAGTCATTTTAGCTATCTCTTTTTAATATGCTAGAGACTTTGTCATTGTACTTCACATGTTTTTAAAACTATTCATTATAATTATAACATTTGTAAAATGTTCATGCATATTTTATTTTAAATAAATCAATGAAAATGAGAAACAAGATATTTTATTTATTTAGGAAGGAAAATGAGGATAGACAAAATTTGTGATACAAATTTTAACAAGAGTGAGTTAAAAGGAGTGACAAAGTTATGATATAACAATATCAATTTCTCATTTATACAACTTTGAGAAAACCATAAATTAGTCTTTGAGAGAGTATAAGAAAATTTAGAAAAATCAACCATTTATGATTTACCCGAATTTGAGAGATAAGACAATTTTTGTCTGAAGAGCTTGTTACGTTGTCTTGGCTTTTGTCTAGACTGCTTTTTCAGGTTTTTTTCTAGTGAATTTTGTTCTTTTTTTTGGGTGATCTTATCTTTTGGCTAGACAGCTCTTTTCGAGTTTTTAGTCTATCAAGTTACTATAATTTTTGCCTGGGCCATTTTTTCAGGTTTTTAACCTAGCGAGTCTTTTCCTTTTTTTCTTTTTTTTTTTTCTTTTTTTCATGCATAATATATTTTTTACTGCATAAGAGTTTACAAGAAGAGATATGTCTTTACCATCCATGTTTGTAAGACTCTTCATAATTCGGAGTTTTCTTTCCTCTATGATACTTTTGGGTTGGCAAGAACTTCTTAGTATCAAGTCTCCTTCTTGAAATTTCGAGGGCGAATTTTTTTTCTTGAAATTTTGATACAATTGTCCATGACATAAGACAATTAATATCTTTTCTTCAATGATGTTCAATTAATCATAACAAGTTGAATTCATTCAGTTTCCTCAAGTTTTATCTCCACTAACATTCTCAATAAAAGATTTCTATTTCAATTGGAAGCACAACATTCATTTCGTACACAACAGAATATGAAATTGCCCCATTATAAGTATGAATAAAGGTATGATAATCACGCAATGCATAACATCCATCTCATACTTTGTATGTTACCACCATCTTTTGAATATTCTTCTTGATATTCTTATTTTCTACTTCAACCGCTCCATTCATCTTTGGACGGTATGAAAAAGAGTTGTGTTGTTGAATCTTGAAATCATCACATAGTTCTTTCATCATTTTGTTATTTAGATTGATTCCATTATCAATAATAATCTTACTTGGCAAACCCTAATAACAAATTAAATATCTTTTAATGAACTTGATCATCACATTTGTTATTACACTAGTATACAACCTCGTTTCAACCCACTTAGTGAAGTAATAAACAATAATAGGAATGAAATGACGTTCATTTGACACAATTACTAATATATATTTAAAGAAAATTTAAATAATTGTAAATTCCTTAATTTAAATTATGACATTATTATAATATGATAATAAATTTTAAAATAACTAATTAACATAAATAATTTTAATTTAATAATTGTATTAATAATGAATAATCAAATATAAAAATAAAATTCTTATAATTATGTTTGTCTAATATTTTTTTATCTTAATTATATAAATAGTATAATAATATTTTATATTATACTAATTTCTTTGAATTATTTAAAAAAATATTTTTTATTTTTGTAAAAAAATTACATATAATTATGTTTTACATAATTTTATTTATGGAAATAATATTATATATATATATATATATATATATATATATATATATATATATATAGATAGATAGATAGATAGATATATCATGTTTTATATAAAATGAAGTTGTTGGACATGAAGCCCGCCACCAATATTTCAAATTACAAGAGATATCTAAACTAATGTTACCTTATTTACATTGGATCATATGAATCATATCAAGAAAATGTTTTTTTTTTTTTTTTTATGTTTTTGGGTAAAATATTTCAAATTACAAGAGATATCTAAACTAATGTTATCTTATTTACATTGAATCATATGAATTATATAAAGAAAATGTTTTTTTAATGTTTTTGGGTAAATAAATTTCTTAGTTATGTTTTAGGGTCGGTTCTAAATAATTTTACTTAATTGAGTAAAATTATGTTTAAAGACACAATTTTACTACGAATAACTCATGCTTGTTAAGACGGGTTGAGTAATATAATATTGAAATCATGTAAGGTTACACGATTTTAGTTGAGAGTTTTTTTTTCTTTTTTTATGAAATCGTAATAGATAGCACAAGTTTAATTATTTTTTAAAACTAAAGTTGTTACCTAACACAACTTTACTTCTTTTAAAAAATATATAAATATTTGATTATTTACATAAATATATTATTCATAAATTAATTAAATTTAGTTTAATTGTGTTATATTATTATTTTGAAAGAAAATAAAATTATTGAGAGAAGTACAAGCATGTATTAATTTGAATTAGTAAATTTACATTCAATAAAAATAAAAAATTATATATATTATTACCAAAAACAAATTACAAAATATTATTGCAAAAAAAAAATACAAATAGAAGGTTCCTAGGTGGGACGAGTCTCACAATTAAATACTTTGTAATTTGTTTTTTATAATAATATATATGATTTTTTATTTTTATTTAATGTAAATTTATTAATTAAAATTAATTCATGTTTGTATTTCTCTCACTATTTTTGTTTTCTTATTCAAATTAATAATATAACACAACTTAATTAAAATTAATAAATTTGTAAATAATATATTTATGTAAATGATCCAATATTTATATTAAAAAAAAACTCGCACTACCTAGCTAGATTTCATTTAAAAAAGAACTCAATTGAAGTGCAACCTTGCACAATTTCAATATTAGATCACTCAACTTGTCTCATCAAACACGAGTTGTTCGTAGCAAATCGTGATTTTAAGGATGATTTCACCCAATTTAGTAAAATTTTTAAAACTAACCCTATCACATAAATAAGAAATTGTTTCACCCAAAAATGTAAAACAAAAAAAAAATGAGATAATAGAATATCATAGAGCCTATCCATCATGGGGAGTGTCATGATGGTGGTACATGACATTGTTCGCGCGCGTGATGAGGAAGATGTTTGAGGACTGCAACAGAGTGCACGATGTGCTAGAGACATGGTGCATGATCTTCAACGAGCACAATGTGTGTGTTGCACGAGGATTTCCTCAATGAGGTGAAGGAATGAGTAACATTGTTGTAGGTATTTGTGAAGGAGAGATATATGGATGTTTGGTTTAAGAGAAAACATGGGACACACAATAAAAAATTGAGGAAGTTACCAATGGATATTATCAAAGAAAAATATTCTCAATAAATGATGTGTTAAACAGAACGAGACTTATTGAAGGACAAAACATTCAGTAATTATCGACGAATCTTTTTATCAATAATTGTCACTTAAAACATCACACTTATCACACAAAAAAACATTCGTTGATAATTATTGATAATATTATGTTTATCATTAATTATTCAAACATTTTTTCATCGATATATACATATCCATAATTAGTTACAAACTATTTAAAGCCATCATTAAATTTTATCGATCATAAAAATTTTCCATCAATAATTCGTCAATAATGTGTATTTTTTGACAAAATTTTGTATTTTTGATATAATTCATTTGTCAATAAAACCTAATTTTCATATAATTATCTAAAACAAAATCAAATTTAAAGAAAATAAAACTAAAAGGTGGGAATAATTTTGGGTGGGCGGAGTACAATGATATTTCTGGTTCAAGAAGAGAAGCAGAAATTCTAGAGAAGGTACAACAATTTGAGTTGCAGAAATTTTAGATAAAGAAAAAGTGGTTATTCAAAATTTGGAACTTGCTTAAATTTTGGAGATTCAAAATATTGGATAATGGCATAAGACGCTCATAAGTTTTGGAGAGGAGTGAAGATCACACTTATTATTTTGTTCATAAGTTTACATTATTTTTCTTTTAATTCTCAAATGTATGATTTGGTAGCAAATTAGGTTATTGAAATATTATCTCATTTATGATATTACATCATGAAAAGGATGGGTTAATAATATTTATCTTCTCTCCACCCTCTTTAATAAAGTTTGTTAGTACATCAGTTATTGCATTTAACTTCCTATCAAATTTATATAACGGAAAATTAAATGAAGTATTAATGATTATAACTGATAAATTAAATAACTAAGATTTACAAAAATATTGATCGGCAACCATATTAATTATTAAGAGATAGAAACTTAATTAAACTCATAAGATATAAAGAGAGTTTCCAAAATGGTTGCTAGTTTTTTTTTTTTTTTTTTTTTTTTTTTTTACGTGAAGCATGGAAAGAATTCGACGTACATATGAAGCCACGCTCCAAAATTAAATGCCACGCTCCAAAATTAAATGCTCAGTGAAGTGACACGGATGATGTATGAAAAAATTAAAATCTTTTTTTATTTTTTTGGCGACAATTCATTTTTTAAAAAATTATGTTATTATTATTATTATTATTATTATTTATTTTAAAAATAATTAAATTATGATTCTTATTTGATGGATATTTTCTAATTAAATATTTTGTCTTTTCTAATACTACAAATCTCTGAAATCAAACCTCGTCTTTTCCTGTCACATTGGGCTAACTTAATAGATTTGAAAAAGAAAGGTGTGATGGATTGGGCTTTGTAATTAATTATAGTGCCATGAAATGAAGGCAAATCCAATTGAGACTTGAGAATCCAATAATGAAAGGAACAAGGTGTGATATTTTGTTAGAAGAGAAAAAAAAAAAAGAAAAAAAAAGGAGATTAAGAAGAGGAGTTGTAATGAAAAAGTGTAGTAGTAATAATGATAGCCTCACAAGTATATCCATTTAATGGAAAGAAAGGGTGAAGGTTGATTGATTAAAATATCTGGGTTTAAGTATAGAAAGTAGTAGGAAAATAATAGGGAAAATGGTTCTTTGTGATAAAGCAAAGGAATGTCATAATAATTCCCATAATCAATTTCCCAACGAACAACAAACCCACACCAACAAACCTAGCCCACATTTGTTAATGCCCCCAACATCAACCCGCACCTAACTTAATCTCCCATCATCAATGCCTTCACCCTTCAATCCTAACCCATCCCTCTTTCCTTTTAATGATTTCACCCTTCTCTTGTAATATTTTATTATAAGAAAACTAATAGTAGATAAAATCATCAATTTAGGGATTCAAAATATAATTATATTTTATTGTTGGAAGAGTTGTATATTATAAAACTATAGTGGGTTATTTAATTAAAGTGTGTAATATTGAATTTGATTTGGAATAAACATATGAACAATAATAATGTTGGAAGGAATCTATTTAATGCTTAAAATCTTTAGGGAGATTAGTTTGTTGAGAATATTAAGAAAAGAGAGAGAAGATTGCTTGGAAGAATAATATCAATTTTGGTACTATAAAATAACATTAAAAATTAACTAATTAGTTAGTATTACTTTTTCTTAATTATGATATACTAGTTAATTATTAAATTTGCTTCTTCTTTTTTAATTAATAAATGAAGAAGAGCGTGTGCATTAAATAAAACGCTACCTGAAGGACACGTCGCGAGTGCAGGAGCGTGGGCATAAAGTCGTTGACAGTGGAAAACAAACTCTCACACTCTTCCTTCTGCGTTTTCTTCTGCAACATTCCAATCCAATCCGTAACAACTAAACGCTGCGTTTTCTGTTCAATTTCGATTCCTCGCCGCTACCTCCGCCACTCTCCGGTGAGTTCCATGGCCATCGCAGGCCGCCAGAAGCCGAGCTCCGACGCGCGGCTCTTCACGCTCTGTCCCTTCTGGAGTTCGCGGAACGGTTTGTTGTCTTCGAACCATTCAGAAGCGAACGTTCAAAGGTCATCCAAAACGATGTCGTCCGTGGCCAGGTCGCTGCTCCCTCCACGCCGGAGACTTCGTCTCGATCCTTCCAGATATCTCTACTTTCCATGTAAAGCCATTCCAATTCCGATTTCGGTTTCGGCTTCTTTGTTTATTTCTCAATTAGTTTATTCTTGTGCTGAAATTTCGTTTGTTTTGAAGATGAACCGGGGAAGCAGGTGAGGAGCGCGGTTCGGTTGAAAAACACGAGCAAGTCTCACGTTGCTTTCAAGGTGCGTACCTACCTGTTGGTGAAGTTTGAATGTAAAATAAAATTGTTTATTATTCCATGCACACCGTTTGGTTCAAACGTGTTTCTATATTTGAAACGCGTTTCTGTTTGTGATGTGTGATGGAAAAATGTATATGCTCGTATCCGTAATTGACTTTTATGATGGTTTCATTTTCGTTTGTTCAGTTTCAAACTACGGCGCCAAAAAGTTGTTACATGCGGCCTCCGGGTGGAATTCTCGCTCCTGGGGAAAGTTTGATTGCTACTGGTATTTTTCTAATATGCAAATTGTTTCTTGAAATTCTTGTCACGTTGTTTGTTTTTCTTTTATTATTTTTTTTGGCATTATGTTAATGCTTCTTTCCATATTCGATACCCATTCAGTGTTCAAGTTTGTGGAACAACCTGAGAACAATGAAAAGTTGTCGGATCAGAAGTACAAGGTCAAGTTCAAAATCATGAGCCTCAAAGTGAAAGAAGGCGTGGACTATGTACCTGAGCTGGTATGTCTGGTACCTTCTGATGTTATATTGAATCTCCCGTTGATGAGAGACCGTTGGGGGGGAGGAGAGAGATAAGGGTTGCTTCCTAAACTGTACTTTCTGATTATTCTGTTGGGTGAATTAGATGTGAAATTAACTTGGTAAGGGAAAAGTCTCCTTTAATTTTCTGACATATCTCAATGCCCTCTCCCCCCGGGATGCCTACTAAATTGTACTTTCTGATTATTCTGTTTGGTGAATTAGATGTGAAATTAACTACGAAAATATCTACTTTAATTTTCTGACATATCTCACTATAGTCGGTTAACGTGTTAACAAGACAATACGTTAACATGAATTCATTTGTGGGGTTGAATATCTATCTGGAGGATAGATGCTATGGCCTTGCAAAGAAGAGAATTGATTTCACAAAGCTGAAAAATATTAACTAATTTAATACTATTTAGAGCTTAAAAGAATTCAGTTAGATATATATTAGGTATGTAATTGACTTCCCCAAAACTCGAGCTATATAGTTCTCTACCTTATAGTCATACTAGAGAATGGATTGTTTCTTTATGGTAATAATTGATACAGGATTTGGGTTACATGGTAATACTAGCATGCTTGCTAGAATTGGGCTGGCAGCCATACAGGATATTTGGGAAAGTTGGAGAAGTCATAGTGCACAGGCATTTCAAGACTCTGTTAATGGAATATCCTACTAGACAAAACTTGTGATCGTAGGGAAGAGTTTAGATGAAGTAGATGTGTAGATGTAGTAACTAAGGTCAACTGCTTTGAGTAAACATACAGGCAAGAAAACTGAACTTCAACTTCTGGATAGGACATTTTTGTTTATTCTTAGAAAGTGGATTAGGTCTAAATCAACCTCACGAAAAACTTAAAAACTCATAAGATGAAGTTTGTATATCCTTATATCTTATAATTTAGTCATATTTTTACTCTATATATTATTTTCAACATTTAGTATTTCATACATATTGTGAACTTATGTTTTATTGATTATAGTCCGTTTTATTTATTCATGCTTTTGGCAAATGACTTCAAGGTTACCTGTTAATGATAAAAGTAAATAAATAAATTTGGTCTTTGGGCTTCTGTGGTGCAGTTTGATGAACAAAAGGATCTAGTGACAGTGGAACGAATATTGAGGGTTGTGTTTATAGATCCAGAACGGCAGAGTCCCGTAAGTTGAACTTTTCTGCAAATTGTCTCATCACAGCCATACTGGATTAATGTGCAAAAATAACAGTCTGGTGATTTTAGGATTTGGAAAAACTGAAAAGACAGTTGGCTGAAGCTGATGCTGCAGTTGAAGCTCGGAAGAAGCCTCCTGCGGAGGCAGGTCCTCGTGTTGTTGCTGAAGGGCTTGTAATTGATGAATGGGTAAGCATAATGTTGAGAGCATGGATTGTCCATTTCAATGTTTTTAATTAAATATATGTTTTATTATTGACATCGTAAATTGCTTCCTAATGTTTATAGAAAGAGAGAAGGGAGAAGTATCTGGCCCGGCAACAAGTTCAAGCAGTAGATTCAGTCTAAACGCAATTTGTTCATCCAGCTAATTCTTTTCTTCAGGGAAACACAATCAAGATAGCATTGCTATGCTACTGTTGCCATCAACCTTGGATGCGTTTCGAAAGAACTCTGTTGGGGGAATTGGTTGGCACCCTATTGGCAGTTTGAGAACGCAATCTGATGGAAAGATTCGTTATATAATTGTCAAAATTCTTGTTCTTTGGAGGAACAGTCCGATTTGTACATAGTAGAGTTTGCTTGTTTGTATAATAAATGCAATTCCTCACTGCCATCTGCTTGTGAAATAATCCTGAAATAACAGATCATTCATGATAAATCAAATTTTTTTGCCCATCTTTGTCATGATCAAACATAGATCATCGTCGAATTGTTTAGTGAACATAGATCATCATTGAACAATAGTCTACTAGGTCCAGGTTTGCATCATCATTTCTTTGTGCAACCGTAGTTTAAGAGGCAAGTAAACCATTACCTGTTAATTTCTCTAAACTTATGTTACCAATTTAGTGTATGTTTAGCAAACTGCAATGGGTATGTGTTCCAGAAAACAAAGAGCCTCTAGTAGATCAATTAAATAAATGAAGTAACCAATGGCATACAAGAGGGCAAAAGGTTGTCAGTGCAACATGTAAATATAAAATTAATTACTGAGTATCATATATCATATATCATGTGGCAGGTGAAAATTCTGAGAGCCAAAAATTTGGTGAGAGCTGCTTTGAACAAAGACTGCCAGGCCACACCTGGTGCTGTTGAATGAATCCCACAAGGAAAAACTAACAGTTCCTGATATTATCTTCTTAGCAGGGTGGTCTGTCACAGTGCAGAGCTTTTCAAGTTTTCTAACAACATAGTCATTGGATAGAAGACGCCCTTTGTTTTCCCCTCTTGGACAGTCAGTTACCAAACCATTTTCGTATAATGCCACCATGACATCTGCTCCAAGATTGTCCACCTTCATCCCCAATGCCCCATTTAGGGTGACTTCCAAACAAATTGATGTAGGCCTACTGAAAGTTGCCTGCAAGCAAACAATTTTGTTCAACTGTTAAAAAAACTGTAATTATTATTATTATTATTAGGAAACTTAGCAAATTATTGTTGCATTGTTCATTCTGGAACTTAATTAGTTAGCTTGTTAGCAAGTGAGTTTATGTGGAAAAAAAGTTGAATTTTCTTTTATTGAACTTCAAGAAAATCTTCCAAACTAATTAGTAAAGTGGTTGGTTTCAAAGAATGGATGACTTTGATTCAACTTGTTTAGATGATGAAAAGCACAGAGCAACTTCCTAAACCGATGAAACCTCTTTTTGGCATTTATTTATTAGGTGAGGCAGGAATCTCCCACTTCTTGTGTGAGGTGATGAAAAATCCTGCATGTCAACGTCTATTTTGAATTTACCACTAGTTTCATTCAGGTTTACCTGATGCTAAAGTCGTATACATGATATAATCAATCTTTTGGCACCTAAATTCACGAGCTTAGCCAAAACAGTGAGAATAAACAAGAAAAGTAGATTAAAGAAAACAATAAAAAGCCCAAAGGAATGCGCCGCAAAAGTGGCTAGTTCAGGATTTGTCTTTTACGTTCTTCTTTTTCTTCTCGCTATATTTCTTTAAGTTTGAGTCATAATTTCTTACCAACAATTTACGACTCAAGGCCATTACATATTTATGTGTCTCATTTTGTATTTGGTTGGTCACATTCTCCAGCAAAAATAAATAAATTATACCAGTAAATTCTTCAACACACATTTTTATTAATTAAAATTTATTTACAAGGTATAAAATTAAATAGATAATCATTAAATAAAAAGTGAATCCCATTAATACTTGTATTTTTAAATATTTTAATCCATAATCAAAACAATTTTCAAAAAAGATATTAAAGTAGGTCACTGACATTTCTCAAATTTATATAAATTTCACTACATAAAAAGAATGAGCTGGAAAAAGAGTCACTTTACCGATAGTTTAATTTTTCCTAACTAAATTATATCATATTCTTTATTGAAAAAATGATTTTTTTTCAAACGGTTTTATCAAATACAATCATTAAAAAATAAACATATTAATATATTAATTGTTATTATATTAATATATTTAGTTATCAATATATTAAAATGGGATGTCAATTTATTACCATGCCTTTTTTTTATTATTAAAAAGATAATTCAGAACGGTTCCAACAGTACTTTCCAGAACAGGTTTTCTGGTAGAATAGTAGTTTGCTTTCTTCTGTAATAAAGCAATCATCAAAACAAATGGTAGATAATGGAGTAAAAGCATTCACGGCCTAGTTAAACAAAGTGTCCTCCCAGTGCCCCTGGAAAACTATTGTTCCTAAGGGGTATCTCTTACATGCTCTATATTTATCTTTTAATTTGTGTATAAACTTAATTTTAACTTATAAAAAATTGATTTTTTAAGTATTTATAAATCAACTTTATAAAAAGATAAAATTCGTAATATTTATATTTTATAAGTAGAAAGATCAATTTAGTTTAGAACAAATTTGAGTATGTTTCTCCACAAATTATAATAAAAGGAAGGAAATAAGCTATAAAATTAAACATTTTTTTTATAAATCAAAGTTAATTTATGTATAAACTAAAAAGTTACCACGTAAATTTATGTATATTTTATTTTGAAATAATATTTTAGAGTATCTTTAATGAAATTGATTATTAAGATGTTTGAATAAAATATTAGTTATTTGATTATTAAAATGTTTAAATAAAATATTAGTTATTTGAAATAATTATTCATCAAACAAATTTAATAAGTGTTTATATATTTTTTATATAATTAATAAAATGAAGGAAATAAGATATGAAATTAAATATTTTTTTATAAATCACAGTTAATTTATGTGTGAACTAAAAATAATATTTTACAAAATTTAATATGTAGATAATTTAATATGCATATTTTTTCTGTTTTGGAATGATAAATTTATAATTGAGAATCCATGATCTTTGCAAATTATAGATGAAGCAAAAATAAAAAAGGAAAAGCATAGAAGCAATGCATGCAGATGGTAAATAAAAGGAAGAAGAATATTAACAGTAGAAGTAACCTGGAAGGTGAGAGCAGGGAACCTAGGCGCAGAGGTGATGGCAGAGACGAGGGCGATATCGTCATTTCCAGAGAGATGGGCCTGGCCCTGGACCACAACCTGTGGAGTGAACAACGTGTCAAGCCCAAGGGCCTCAACATAGGCCTTCTGCCTAACGGTCCACTGGCTCGACCCAAAGGGGTCCTTCCACCCGACGTAGTCCCAGTAGTCCACGTGGAAGGCCAGCAGCACCACCGGCACCGCCAGCTGGAAGTCGCCCCTCCCCAGCCGCGACAGCACCAGGTCCGCCGACGGAGACGCCGCGCACCCCTGCGACGTGAACATCTCCACCAGCACCGGCCCCTCCCCCTCCGCCACCAATACCTCCTCCCCCACCTGGCGGTCACTGTCGGGGTTCCTACATCCCGCTAAGTGCTTCTTGCGGAAGCAGGACCAGAGACGCGGCGCCATTGGTGGTGAGTGGTGGCGGCGGAGAGAAGGAGCGAAGAATGATTTAGAATGAGCATGATAATTGAAAATGAAAGAAAAAAAATGGAGGGTGGAGAAAGAAATGCGGCGAATCAGAGGGGCTTTGATTTAAACGTCGTCGTCGTGTGTGTTTTGTGGAATGTTTCATGGGAAGACAGGGTGGTTTCTTGTTGGTGACCATATCAATATCTATCCTTCAAACCTTCATCATCAATATGTATCATTTATGGTACCTAAGAAGAACATATTCAATTATGCTAAGTCGTACAGTAAACGTATATTAATAATGTAATCAACATCATAAATTTTATATAAAAAGTCTTAAGAATAAAACATTAAATATGATAACTAAGTTCATTTTTTAAATTTTAAAAAATTAAAGTACACATAAAAAATTATAAAATTAAAACTTGCATAATAGCTTAGAAAAATAATGTGGTAAGATTCATTTAAAGTAAAATAAGATTCGTTAAAGGTTTTATGCCATTTTTACATTTAAAGAAGCTTAGCTTTTAAAAATTAAAGCTTTTTAATACTTATAAATTTGCCTGACTCATGAAAATATAAGTTTGGTCTGACAAATTTAATGCATATAATGTGACATGCTCAACAAAGAATTTTAGTACGTTTTGAAATATAAGTTTCTCTAGGTGATCAAAGTGTATACCTAAATCTTTAATTTTAATAGTCTTAATATTATATGAAAAAAAAAACAGTTTTTTTATAAATTAAAATTTATTTATTTATAAATATAAAACAATAAATTTTTGAAGAATTACAGGAAAAAGTTAACTTTATATAAACCAATTTTAATAATTTTTTTTCTAAAATATAAAATATATTTTTTCCTTTTCTTTCCTACTAAAAATTAAAAGAAAATATTTTGACAAAATAAGAGTATAAAATATTTTTGTCATTAAACTCTGTCTTCTATACAAATTTATAATGTTTTTTTTCTTAATATTATATATTATATTCTTTTCCCACCGATAATTTTTTTGACACATTATAACTTATAACATGATTCTAACGTGTTAATATGGGATTGACCTCAAATTTATATAAAATGGGGCAAATTAAATAAAATTAAATTGTAACTTAAATTGAACTAATAAATTTTATCTCGTTTATTTATTTTGTAACCTAAATAAATTTAAACCAACATGTCTTGTAAATTACAATCCAATGCATTATATAATATTATTTTATTAATAAATAATATATGTAATATTATAATTAAAAATAACTATGTTAAAATACAATCGAAAGCCCTTTGTGTGTGTACCCTCTGTTTTCTATTTAATTTTTTAAATGATTTTTTTTCTTTATGAAAAACCAATAATAATCAATATAGCAGGCCACGATTTTTTACGTGTGCCATTTTTTCTCTTTATTTCTTTGTAAATTAATGTTTGGATTTATATAATCATAATTATTAATTAATCTATTTGTTTTATTTAAATTAATCTATTTACTTTTATCAGTTAATAAACTAATAATACTAAAGTTAATAAAATAATAATACTAAGGATAATTAAGTAAATATTTAGCAACGATATTTAAACACAATTTTTTTTAAACATTTAGTTTTATATATTTATTATTTTAATATTTTTTAAAATATATATAATATTAGAAATAGATAATATTCATCATAATAAAATATTTTTATAAATAAAATATTTATATTTAATAATTATTATTTTGAATGCGTTTTCTATTTATATAATTATTACTAAAAATAATATAATCAACTTTAATAATAATAATATTGGAATTGGTGAAAAAAAAATCTAAATTATTTAGAATGTGTACGTAGAAAAAAATACAAGATGTATTTATAATTTGATAATCAAACTTAATAAAAATTATATTAAATTTACTTTTAATTTAATTATCCAAAATTATTTTTAAAATAATATAAATAATTAAATCATAATTAAAGAGTAAATTAAAATTTATTATATGTTACTTTGATTTTTTACTGCAGTTGGAGATATGTAGGAAAAAAGATATAATATCTGTTGAGGCAAAAGCATTAAAAATATATTATTTTTATATTTTAAAAATTATATATATATATATATATATATATATATATATTAAGATATTATTTTAATTTTAAGGATAAATTAAATAATTTTTAAAATATTTAATGGTTTTACCTTAAAAAAGATAATTATTTTTTTTATACATAATTGATTTTTATCAATTTTAATATCACTTTTCTTTTCTTTGTAAAATCTTTTTCAATATTTTCATCAAAATAAATATTAATGATTATTTTTTATATTTCGTAGTCTCAATTTGGTTGCGACAACGATCTTGAGTAGAATAAAATCATATCTTAATTTTAATTTATATTTATTTTTATTAAACTTATATATATATATATATATATATATATATATATATATATATATATATATATATATATATATATATATATATATATATAAATGAAGGTTATGCTAGTAATTTTTTAACCGTACAATAATAGATGTTTTTTTATCAAAAGATATAATAACTTGTAGCATTTGAGTTTTTTAAGTCAAGTTCGACGTTTAATTCCCAACTTGGATAGAAAGTACCTCTTCACTTAAAACAGGTCGATAAACAAAATGGATACATGAAATATGTTTTATTTTTAACCTTATTTATCTCGGAAAAAAAATTATTTACATCATTGCTATTGTCCACGTTCCAACAAGGATATTAATAACACCAAATCCATGGACCATGGTAAAATACATACATCATAGGGTAAACTAAAAAAAAAAGGCTATTTTAATTTCATGGAATTTGGCGGCCAAAAAGAAAGGAATCCACACGTGGATGATCCACTAGCACAAACCCTATTGATCTTTTAAATCACCACCACCACTACCAATCCAGTTTACCACCTAAATCACAACCATCATTCACTAGTGCAAAAAGGGGCTTTTACGTCAGGTATTTAGGGCTTTTACATCATATTTAAGATTGACGTTAAAACGTAAGACGTAAATTTACGTTGGACCCTTTAGCCCGACGTAAATTTACGTCAGTTATCAAGACCCGACGTAATTTTGCGTTGCATATACCATTAAATAGACGTAAAAATTTTCGGAAATTAAAAAAAAAATAGCAAATTTACGTCACATATTGGTATACGCGACGTAAATTTACGTCACATATTTTTTTTTAAATTGGGTTGATTCTGTTTTACAACTAAAACCTGCAAATATATATTACAACCAGACAGTCCAGAGGTTCAATTTTCTTTAGCTAGTAAATTAAAAATATAATATTATATAATTCAAACTACATAATACAAACATACAAACTAAAAAATCTATTACAAACTAAAAGTTAATACAAACTAAGCTACCTAAACTACATAATACACACAATATAATATGAACAAGAACTTAAAAAATTATGTACTAGAATTGTTGAACAAAAAATTTTGTCCATTGTTCTCTAATTTGTGTAATATCATATTCGGTAATGGAGATGGATCTTGAAATACCCGAAACATTAATTTGACTATTGTAAACATGCAAGATGAATAAAGTTAAATAAACTTAACTAATGTTAAAAGCAATTATCTCCAGTCCAAGAATCAATTATACCCGCACAAACTATGGCTCTCATCCAATACATAACATAGTAACCACATTCAAATGAGTCTGTTTGCTTATTACACTGAAATGATGAAAAAACATAATGTTATTTTCAAAATTTAAATACAAACAATAATTATGATATTCACTTATATAAATAGGTTTCTAACCTTAGGATAAATGAACTGCAAAGTCTTTGTTCTAGGTTTTCCACTTAGAACATTAGTTCCAGTCACGATTCTAAGTGAAAAAAAGTCATATATTATTCAATATGGATTTACAATTTAAAAACATAATTAATAAATAAAATATAAAGTTACCCTTGTAATAAGCTTTTCATTTCTTGACTCGGTTTCCGATGTAATGAACAAAACCACACCACAGTGTAATCCCGGGGTATGATTACAATTAACTGTCAATGGGACCTACATTGTATGACATAAAAATTAGTTACAAAAATATAAATTAAAATACTAACCCTTCAATGTATGGAGCCAAATATATATGTCTTTTTGAATCACTCATCCATGTTTGCATATATTGTTGGATTTCAACCTTTGTATTTCCAGATTTTTGGATGGATTGAGGCTCAATAAATCCGTATACTTCGGATTTTTCTTGTTCTACACTCAATTTGTCAATGTACCTAAAACAATAAATTATAAGTTGAATATAATTATTATAATCTTAGAAACATAAATGAGAATGACTTACATTGCCCACAATTGTATGATGGAAATGTTTAACATGCAATTTCCCCCAGCAATTTCTAAAGCATCGGGCAAGGAAATGTATAATGGAACACTGGAATTGTCAATTCCAAACACTCTAACATCCCATATTATCCGACACCGGTCTCTTCCTCAACCGTGGTAATATGGTCAACAACATAGAGATGGGATCATCATCACATTCTGTCAAATCCTCATCAATAATAGGTTGTTTTTTATGCTTAGCACGACGCAAGTCCTCCTAAACAAATGATAACAATTAATTAAACATTTATATAATTATAATACTAGAAAAGATAAAATAGACAATATATATATATATTACCTTGGTCTCGTGCTGATAGTGGCATAACCAAACGTCTTGGCCAAGCCAAGAATGTTCCGCTTGCCTGCCCCACTAATTGAATCTCTTCATTAGGAAAAGACACTAGAGCATTAGCATCATGAACTTCATCAACTACTACTCGTGTCCAGTCTGCCTGTAGAGGGACACCATGGATGGTTAAACCACCTTCAAAAACTCGACCAATAGCCACTAGACGCGGGGGGTCATCTTCAACATATAACTCACACTGGTGTGATGCATCAGTCTGAGTATATTCTCCTGAAGGATCAGCAGCAGTAGCAACACAACTCCCTTTAGTGC